ACCTGCTATAAAATTGAACATTCTGAACATTTTAGTGAACATGACATTATAAAATATGTCTTATGTTCTGATTGTCCTCAAAACTTGTTAAAAAAAATAAGAAAATAAACATTGGGTGATTTTGAAGGTTCTGTCCTGATATGCCTGGCTGAAAATCTAATCTATAGCAAAGCTGCATTCTACTACTGCTTACTTGAAAAACCTCATTTGAGAATGACTGTTGTACCTTGCTACCATTCCCTACCTGCACACATGCCTTTAAAAGCAAGATATTGGCTGTAACTTTCAGTACCATATTTTCTTTCTGAGCAAGGAAATTACAAAATGTAATCAAAATCTTGCAAAGAACATAAAACTGTAAATGGGCAATATTTTCTTATGCTTCTGCGACTGCGACTTTCAGTACCATATTTTTCTTCTGAGCAAAAAATTACAAATTTCATAAAGAACATATAACATAGAACAGTAATGGGGCGATATCTCCTGATGTTATAGAAGCCTTTAACAGTACCATATTTTTCCTCAAAGCACAGAAATTACAAAATATAAGCAAAATTTCACAAAGAACGTAGAACAGTAATGGGGCGATACCTTCTGATGCTTTAGAAGCTTGTGACTTTCAGTATCACATTTTTCCTCTAACTTAAGCAGAAATATTACAAACTTTAAGCAAAATTTCACAAAGAATGTAAAGCAGTAATGGGGCGATACCTTCTGATGCTTTAGAAGCTTGTGACTTTCAGTATCACATTTTTCCTCTAACTTAAGCAGAAATATTACAAAATCTAAGCAAAATTTTGCAAAGATAAAAGAGTAATGGGGCGATACCTTCTGATGTTTCAGAAGCCCGGGGCCTGATGATGTGGGTATTCCCTTCACCAGGGACGGCTTCGGCAGGCAGAGCATGTCGGAGAGACACCGCGGCGTGAAGGATGCTAAACAAACAGACATCTACCAGAAGAGACAGCACAAAACCAAGAGCATGGATCTGGGTGAGTTTCGCACATTTTTATTTAGTTTTTATTTATTGGTTTGGCTGTTCAATCCTCACAGCCAGGGCAGCCCAACAGGCCAGTGGCTATTACAAAAGGCTTGCCCTGCTGACAAGACGTGGCAAAACATTACAGCAACATATAAAATAAGGTGTCTCACACATTTATAATCACATTAAGTCCACAGCAGATAAATAGCCAAGTGGTAAGGCTAGTGGACACCTGATCGATCCCTGGTGTTCCTGGCTAGACATTGTGTCCTTGGGAAAGGCACTTAACACGACTTTCCTCACTCCACCATAGCGTAAAACCATAGTTAAATGGGTGCCTGACTTTAGCTAGGGAGGTACAAGGCAGGAAAAAGAGAGAAAGGATCCACCTTCCAATACCTTTTTGACCTATGCCATAGAAAGGGAGTAGTATAATTGCACTACATGAATATTATTATCAGTAGTAATTATATGGGCATGTAGGCATGTCAAAACGAAAAAAAAATAAATGGAGAAACATCTGCAATCCAATAATTTTTTCTATCAAAAGGTTTTATTTCCTTTGGGAGATGAAAATTAAATACCAATTCCATTTATGTAATGAATATTTACCCAACTTACAATGTTATTGTTCCCATTGTCCTCAGCCATCATTGATAATGCACAGCAGATATATTGTGCCCATTGTGATCCAGTCACAGTGTACTGTGTATATACAATACCATGCATAAATTCTATACTGTACGTACAACTGAAGTGCATCGTTTTATTGCAACAGATGATACAGACCTGCCATCCAACCTTGCACAACAGCAGAAAGGTGAGAAATTCTACCTTTTTTGTGCTTGTACTTTAGTAGTTTTTGTTGTATTTTCAATGTATGTTGGCATCTGTGTTTTGCTTTTCAAAGTATGTAGGATGGAATTCTTAGAAATGTTATGATGGTAGATCGTAGACCTTGTTCTTGTTATGTATGGTAGGTCCTTCTGTGCCAGTAGGCTCTTCAAGAGGTAATTTCTAAGTCAGGAATGCACTTCAGTTGCAGATGTGCTCAATAGTTCTTTATCCAAGTCTCTTGTGAATGTACTGGGTGCTTCAAATTATGGTGTGAAAAATGTTGCAAAAATATGTCTTCTAGATGATTTTTTGAGAATTAAACTGTAGCTAAATGTGCTTGTTTTTTAGTTGAAAGTCACACAAATTGAAGCTAAAACTTTGAAGACATATAATTGTTGTAGATACCATGGTATGTGGATTGAGTGTTACACCTGCTGTATGCAAACAGTGTGATTGGGCTCTTGTCTTTCGCTTCCCATACCAGTACTGTCGGTGTTTAAGGCAATTGAAATTTCTATGCTTGTACACACTACACTGTGTAACTTCCCTGAACTTTGAATTCCTGCACAGCCACAAGACTTTACATTTGCTACAAAATCCATGAACGTAAAACCACTGCTGATATTTTACAATTTACGGTACCCTCTGTCTTCTGGCCTTCAGAGCTACATGAAATGCTGCATTTATTATCCAAGATACAGTATCCACTGCACATTGTCCTCATTTTACGATATACCAGGTACATGTATCATGAATTATGAATGGTTAGAGAGCCAAAATTTTCATTGAGAATGTAATTGTATGTAGCGTAATATGACAGGTAGCAATTTGCGTATTGTATGGTTGATAAGCCCATGTGATATAACGTCCTTGGCTAAGCATAAAGGGAAACAGGTTTAAATTTTCAAACAAAGCTTGATTGAGTTGTAGTCAAAAACTAAATTGCTGTGTAGTGTAAAGCTACATCATGTAGTACATGTACAATTCCAATTGACCTAGAAAAGCACTGTTCAAAGAGGACCAAAGGTTAAATGAGGACCCACTCACACTGTGTACACAAGACAGGTGCATAGCCTGTTTATCATATCAGCAATACTGCACTTTCTACTGAGTTGTAAAGGCCTGTGCTGGAATTTCAGGGAATTCTGGAAACTCCTCTACATGTATTTGCAGCTTTGCAGCAACTGCACATGTCAACACTTTTTTCTCGCATAATTCTCATACATCATTCTACTGTTTACTCAAGCAAGCCTGTTTGTTTATATATATAAACAACAACAACAAAATTCATAAGAACTAAAAGGACCACCCATTTTTTTTTTCAAACAATGAATAAGTTAACAAGTGAATTCTGTCTAGGTGTCAATTAGTCTACATTAGACTTTTGCTTAGTCATATCCAGTCGTTGATTATACCGCTGCTTGCCGAAAAAATAATAGATATAACTGGTAAAATGGTGTGAATAATATTCCAGAGGAGTTAGAGAGCCATGGATTTTCGTAGTTCAAGTTCTAGATTGCCCATATGTGCATGTATGTCATTGAACATCTAACAACAAATTATTTACCCAATTTGGCACTTTTTACCATTTTTGCTGTAACTTAAGTGTCAAGTAGCATGTTAGTACTATTGAAATGATGGCCAGAGCCCAGAAGGTGCCCTACTCTAACCTTTTGACCTGATGTAACTCATGGTAAGATAGCAGGCTTGACACTGTGCCCCCCTCTGAGAGCCTCAAGTTTCTCACATTTTTTCGCCATCCATCAAAACCTACTTCCTACCCATCAACAATTTACCAAAGTAGCCACCCCTTTTTAAAGGTGGCACCTTCCGAAAGACCACAGTGTGACCTGGTTTCAGACTGAACCATTGTGAGAGATAGGGATGTTATTGAGCTGTCAACACTTGAACAGGTGCAGAACAGATTGTCAGGGGGATGACATGCTGGGAGGGAGGAGCTATCCACAAGGGACTGTCTCCTAAACCAGGGGCATGTAGGGCCCCAAATTTAGTGCTATGCTCAGTCCTCATTTGTGTTGGATCAAAAAAAAGCTGCCAAGAATGCCAAAAGGGATTGTTATGTAGTGTTTTGTGTAATTGTCTGAAGGAGCAAAGGGGACTAAACTGAAGCAGGATACTGTGTGTGCTTTTCTTGTGCCTAAGGTAGGTTTTTATGATTTGATAGCCACAAATTGGTGGATTTAGAATTTGGCTCACGAGAGACAGTGCCTCAGATGCAGCATTTCCATGCAGGGCATTGCTGACAAATAGCTGAAAGTCTTTGGAAATGAGGCATGGCCTGTATACAAGTGATGTAAACATATTGACGTAAAATGGCCCTAGAATTTTTATCTAAAGACAAAGGGGACAGCTACTTTTTGAAGTAACTTGTTTTGAAAGGCTGTAGTATTATTGTCAAAAACCATTCCTTCTGTCTAAAAAGATTGATAATCTTTCTGCTTGTAGTTCTTCACAGCTAGTAGTAAGAATTGTTTTAGAATGCTTTCAATTGTAACCAATACATTTTGTGTACTTAGTGTCTATTATTAGGCTGTGTTTTAATGAGGTCTGTCTGTGGTAAATGTTAGGTACATTAAGCTGATTACATCTGCATTGAAATAAGTATGCATTGTTGTCCAAAATGCTTAAATAATTTCCTGAAATAGTTTAAACATTTGAGAGATATTCGCAGATGCGTAATATTTTTCAACAGTTATAGTTATAAATGTTTTCATCAGCCCGAGAAATAGCTTTCTGGAAAACATCATAGAGAAATTTTTCTCGTTTTGTTGTGGTATGCAAATGAGTGGTGAGTGTTTTTCTAAGATTGACACTGGAATCTGTTTGGTTAGAAGTTGATTGACATGTGAAATTAATCATGTCACTCTTTTGACAAATCCATCTGGGCGCACTGGAAGTATGTACATGTACTACATCTAAAGCTGGCAGTGGTTTGCAATGTGGCATCTCAAGCAATGATAAGATTGAGATTTAGATTTAGATTCAGGTCTGCCATTTGTACTGTGCCTGCAAGAAGCCAGCAATGTATTGTGCATAGCTGCCATAGCATTTCGGCAGAATGTCTTATTTACTAGTAAGCTCCTTCGTCTCAAAAAACACCTCATCGAACTGTAAGAACGAGAGAAAATGTGTTTAGCCATAGGAAAATTCTTATGCAATGTTGACCAAACATCTAACGAAAACTATGTACTAATGCCACCCCTTCTCTTATCAATAAGTGTGGTGGGTTCTTTAACATGTATTAGGTGATGTTTCTAACATTTTTCCCATGTTTCCCCAGCCTTTGGCGGCCTGACCAGTCCAGTGGGAGATGACAGCCCAGGCCAGCTGGTTCGCACCAACTCTGCTGACTCGATTATGAGCAAAACCAACCTGTCTAATCTAGGTAAGGAACTATAACTCTTTGCTAAACGGTTTGCTTAACTCACCTGTAGTGACTGTGTAGGAAATACTGTAGATGAAAGATTGTGCAGATGACAGCATTAACCTTTAAAGTAGCATTTGTTTGTTTGTTTGTTTATTTCGATCTCCATTAGCATTGAAAGTGATCAAGACAGTACGTGTCAAAGGTGTTTTACATGTACAGTCAAAACTGACATACATATTCAAATCTTATAATAAATACACGTAGCTCCTTTACACTTGCAAACATTTCCAAACTATTTTGCTCACTGACTGTCATATTCAATGATACTACTGTAACAGTAACTTGTGTGTAGCCCTCCCATTCTTTATTCAGAACAAACTCACAACTTGGCTCATATCTGACTGCCCAAAATGTTCTATAAAAGATCCAAAAGAATCAATATAAAAACTATATTAATGTTTATTTCCTTGATTCAGTTTTCAATATTTAGAGCCAAGTTGTGAACTGCTAAAACTTAAGTTTATGCTCACCTCCTATGATCTCTTGTACTTTCCCCCACAGGTCTTCCCACTTCTCACACTGACCCTAGCCTTGCTGATACTCAGGACAACTCTTTAGGTTAGACATGTAACAGTGTGGAGCAGCATCCATGGATGGCATCTCATAGACTCTCTTGTATTCATCAACACAGAAAGCATACAATACCCTACCAAATAGTAGTAATGTCGGGGTTGTGTAGCATAACGGCAGAGCATTCAGCTCAGAACCAAGAGGTCCTGGGTTCGATCCCTGCCATGTCACCGATCTTGTGCCCTTGGGAAAGGCACTTTACGCAACTTTCCTGGATGGAGGTCTGGCGAACCCCATCTCGTATTGGCTACAAAAAAAGACAGCAGAATCCTTAGCTAGTTGAAGGCGGCTGCCTTAAAATGAAAGAAGAAGAAGCCTGGATGCCAGACTGTTGCCAGGGCCTACACAGTCCAGCACACAGGCTAAATACTGAGTCTGGTCAGATGAAAACATCCATGGATTTTGACCACTGCAGTTGCATCACACAGTAGTTGTATTCTGAAGGCTGCTCTGCAGATAAGGTGCTTTAAACACCCCCCGCTTTTTTTCTTTCCAGCAAACTTGACTTGATCCCGCTTATAATTTAAATATATGGCTGCACTGCTTTGCATGCAAAAAGATGCACAAATGCTTGGCAAGGCATTAAGGAATGGATCAAGCTCTCCATAATGTCGGCAATGGCAGAAAACTCTCGTTTGGTGATGGACAATTACCGGTACAGTCAAAACTGCCCAAGAAGACCACTCGGGACTGATAAAATCTGGTCTATTTGGACAGGACTGGTAGTCACTAGCACTATAGACATGATTCTTGATGTCAAAATTGGTCAGGTGGTCACTTGTACAGGTCTGACTGTATGTCATTTCTCAACTGCATGGAAAGTCCTGCATGTACAAGGTACAGACATACAGAAGTAAATTAAAAAAAACACTTCTAAACTGATTAATGTTCCCTCCCTCCCAGACTCCCCTACACGAGACATCGGGCCCAGTCTAGGCATGAAAAAGTCCAGTTCGCTGGAGAGTCTACAGACGGCCATCCAGGAGCTGGTGTCAGAAGAGGACCACGACGCCATGGCCCGACCGCGCGTGAAGGCCGTCAGAGGGCGCGCGTGCAACGAGAGTTTCCGTGCGGCCGTCGACAGGTCGTACGAAGCGCCACTGCCAGACGTGAAGGCAAGGCCGAGGATGGAAACTTGTAAGTTACCTGTTATTCATCAGGGGATCAAGACCTACATGTAGATGCAACATCTTTTCTGTGTTGAAAGATATTGGGTAGGGTCATGGCTAGCGTTCGGCTCAGAACCAAGAGGTCTCGGGTTCGAATCCTGCCATGTTGCTTGGGAAAGGCAATTTACACGACTTGTGTTGAAAGATACTATATACACGTATTAGACTAAGTCCACCATTCCATACAGGCTTCATTGTTTTAACTTGTTCTGTATTTCATTATTTCCATTCTTCATCTTGTCACTAGTAAGTAATGAAGTATAATGCTCATTTCATGTTTTATGTTGCCATACTGCATTTGTTTGAATGATCTGATGTAACTTAGCATTTGTCTAGATTCTACATGCACATGAATGCCATATCCAGTTTTTTTAATACTTTCAATTTCTTGCACCATTTTATTGTCATTTGCCATTTCACAATTTCATCTTTTTGTTTTGCATTATTATTGCATTGTTGCACGTTGTATGAATTTACTAAAGAAATGTGTGAAGGGACGTTCATAGCATGTCCCTTTCTGCATTTCTCGTATTTTGCACATCTTCAAAACGTCTCTCTGCTTCTTTTGTGTTATTTTCAGCCGATCAAAACTTGCCACGAAGCTATTCGAGTAAGCATGGTTATTGTGGCGTTATGTGGGGTCAAAGGTGGCAAAGCGACTTTGCAGAATAAGAGCATGCTGTAGAACCTAGTTTAGAACTGTTAGGAAAAAATGTTTGTGTTTTACAACTTTGTATTCTCTTTGTCTTCTAACTGTCAAAGAATCTGATCTTGAACTCTCTTTCAAATTTGTGGAAATCAAGTTTCAAATTTGTCAAATTTCAAAATTGAGTTTTGTTTCCTTCTTGGTTGATCTAGACATACAGAGAATACAAAGAAAATGTGTTTGTTTCTTTCATTGTGTTTTGCATTGTTCAATCATTTTTACAACAGAAACAATATTGAGGAAGACGAGGGCAGATATGATTATTTTTCATAACAACTTCTGAAAAAGTTGGAACATGCCTTTTCCCCTCAGATGTGTTTAATATTTTTCATAAACCAGATATTGTCAAACTTGCCCTAGCCCCCTCAAACTGTTTCTGTATGAAACTCACAAGCTTGGTGGTGGTGCATGTCATTGTGCTGTTGTGTTAGTACGTTGGGAAGGTACATCTAATCCTGGTAGTCTGCGGTTGGACTTGTACAGTAACAGTTACTACAGATGTGCTGTTGATGATCATGATATTCTGCATGCAACATGTTGCTGTTTTGCATGCTACAGCATATAGAGTAGGTGACATCAATAACCATTGATACAATTATTGTATTCCTAGGTTGCTGCATTGACTTGTGGTGTATATACAATATTAGAATCCAGAAGAAAAATTCAAATGGAGAGATGCACTGAATCTGAATAAAAATAATAGATCTTTTTCTGGACCACAAATTGTATTTTAATGTCTTCAGGCATGCATTTTTTCCGTAGAAAAAGCATCCTTTATTTGTGGACACTACCTGTTTCTTTTAGTTTTGTCTCACCTTTTTGTAAACCAAATTCTTCAAATTTCACCTGAAATTCATAATCCAATCCTGTCTTAAACCTGATGTACGCAAAGCAAGCAGCCCCCTAGGAACTGCCATATGTACTGCATCCTCACTTGTGTTTGTGAAACAGTAGATGTAAAGACTCTGTGGGTTTGTTCTCCGTAGTGAAAGAGAGTGCCAGTGAGAGCGAGAGCCACAGTGGGAAGGAACAGACATCATCTAACCGGTCCTCTTTGGTCGGAGACAACATCGTGCTGGCTGAAACCAGTTTTAGGAAAAGCGGGAAGAAGAAAAAGGAAGGACTGTTCAAGGGACTGGGGTCCATGTTCAGGTAAGAGTCAGTTGATGATGTTATTTTCAGTTTTATTCATCTTTAGTTTAGCATTTCAGTCTGTGGATGTCTAATCCTAAAAGTAGTTTTAAAAATTGGGGTTGTGTGGCGAAACAATAGAGCCTTCAGCTCAGAACCAAGAGGTCCCTTGTTCAAATCCTGCCATGTCACCGATCTTGTGCCCTTGGGTAAAGCACTTCACACAAATTTTCTCACTTTGCTCGGGTGAATTATAGGAGTATTCTGTTTCTGTTTGTGCGTTTGTCTGCGTTGGTGGCAGCATAAAAATAAGTTGAGTGTGCCGTCGCCATGTCTTGTGGTAAATGTTGGAATAGAAAAAAAAACTTAAAGAGATATTTTTTAAAAAGTTTTTCTTTTGTGTTCTTGCCAGATTTGGGAGGCACAGGAAGGCAGAAGAGAGGGCACTGGAGAACCAGAAGGAGGAGGAGGACAGGAGAAGAAAGGAACAAGAGAAGCAGGAGAGGGAGAGAGAAGCAGCATACAGGGCAGCACAGGACGAACAGGAGAGGTGAGAGAAACTTCCTTCCATCCTGTAGCTGTACTGGCTTTTGTTCCCTGTGTACAGTGGTCTCTTTAAATGCTGCCAAGTTATGGAAGGCAGGACTTCTTTGGCCTTGAAAAATGCATGATTCTTTCAAACCTGTCTAGAGTAGAGTGACAACTCAGGGAACTTGACAAAAATGGTCACAGTAGACATGTCAACGCTATAGACAAGATTCTAGTTAGTGCTTGGGTCAATGTGGGGGATAATCTGAGGTACCTGTAACATGGGTAGGTGAGCTTTATTAAGAGGAGGACCTAGTGTACATCTGTCAGACCACATATCAGTGGCCAGACAGTCCTTTTGCAGAGGTGGTCACTAGTACAGGTTTGACTGAGTGTACAATCAATGTCCAGGTGACCTTATGTAGAACTGTAGAAGAAGTACCTAGTGGACCATATCATATGAAGAACTTTATTGCATAACAATTGTAGAAGGCCTGGCAACGACTATATCAGTGACCCTAGTATACCCTTCTTTGACTGTATAGGAGTAGCCACACAGTCCTTTTGCAGAGGTGGTCACTAGTACAGTTTTGACTGTATATGAATGTCATTATAAAAAAGTAGTACAGGTTTCATTGTATGATAATCATACACGGTAATCCTGCGTTTTCCATATTGCTGACCTGCCTGTGTTCGTTTCTGATGCAGGATCCAGCAGAAGCATGCAGAGCTGCGTAGGAAACAGGCCATGGAGAGACAACAGAAGCAGCTGCAGGAGCAACAGTCCATGTCTCAGATCAGACAGGACCGCATGCAGGAACGCATGAACAGGCTCAGACAGGTAGGGGTCCTATAGGGGGTATAACTGCCTGCCTGTACAATACATAAGCTTACAAGGAGTTTGATAGTTGTTACTTGTATTACATAAAACAAATTGTGTCACCTAAGCCTTGCATATTCCCCAAGTATCATTGCAACTGTCCAGTTAAGATGCCCTAACTATAGTTTATTAGAATTAGTGCAGTCAGTTGTTCTTGGAAACTACTGAGTCAAAATGGATGTTTTTCTGGTAAAAAAATCCTTCTTACAAAAATTGTCAGGAAACTGAGAGAAAAGCTTATTTTGTGAGCAGTTGGTAACAGTAATGTAACCCTAGACATCTTCGTAAGAAAAAAAATCTACTCATGGAAGTAGGTTTGAATATCTGTTTTCCAACAAAAGGATTGGACTCAATTTTCAACCAGCTCTAAGGTCTTCTTCTTCTTGTTAATCAATACAGATGAACTTTCATGCTAAAAAATCTCCCTGAGTCCTTACAGGAGTATCAGGCCAGTTGATAAGAGTAACATAGCAGACATCTTTGTAACAAAAAAATCTACTCATGGAAATTAATAGGTTTGAATATCTGTTTTCCCACAAAATTTTCAACTGTCCAGCTCTTTGGTATTCCTTCTTCTTTCATGCTAAACAATCTCCTCGTGTCCCTTCTTACAGGAGTATCAGGCCAAGAGGAGAGGAGAAGAATCATCACCAGGGACCGGTCCCGGCAGGCCCAAAACCCCCGACGCCTCGCGCTACCCCCACCCGGAGCCGCGCCGGCCGAGAAGTCCGGAGCTGCAGCGATACGGGCCGGCCGGTCGCGCCCAGAGTCCGCCCGCACGGCTGCCGGGACCCGGCGCACGGCCGCAGAGTCCTCCGGAAGTCGCACGGAGGAGACCTCGCAGTCCCGAGGTGAACAGATACGAGGACAACAGGAGACACAGCAGTATTGAAGTCAGGAAGGTCAGTAGGATGGAGCTTGGTTCTCGGAAAGGCGGCTGACAAAGCATATGAAACACTGATAATGATAAAATGGATGGTACGAATACTGTCAGCACAATACACACACAAGTCTTTTCTACCTTTGTCTTGACCCCTGTTCTGCAGAGCCCATATATAGATAGATAGATATTATATGGGTTCCACATACAGTACCATCCATGTAGACAGTGCCATTTGTCAGTATTTCTTGGGCAATGCATTACACCACAGCAGAACGCAACAAATGCAAAGTAACTACGCCACCGCAGGGCAAAAGAAGTCAGGGTCTATGAAATTATTGAAAAATACTGTGTGAAAAATGCCAGCAGACAAGGGTTAAGTACCAAGGCTAAATAAAATGTTTACTTGCAGGCGATGAGCCAGGACCCCAGCAGGAGAAATTCGGGAGACATCCTGGCGAAGTACCCCCACTACCAGCCTCCTGTACCCCAGCCCAGGGACAGGAGACAGGACCCACCCCCTCCCCAGCACCCCAGCTACACCCCCACACCCAGGAACTTCAGTAGCCTACCCAGGGGATACGGGTAAGTCTCGCCTGTTATCTTACTGCTGTACTGACAACTGATGTACTAGAATAGATTGGGTTTGTTTCAAATGTGGGATGCCAATGCAAGTTATCTATTCTAAAAACTTATAAATTGCTATAGTTGGGAGACAACTTTGCATGTTAAAGATTAATTTGCAAAGTTGTTATTTCAAATTTCGCATTCCAAATTTGTTCAGTTAAACTAACTCCAAAATGCAGTTGATTGTAACAGCTTGCATAATGATATACTCTTTGAAATTTGTGGCCAAAATATAGGAAATTCAATACATCTCATGTCATAAGTTAATGAACTGAACTGTGCATTAACACATACATAAAGCTTTCTTCCACTCTGGTACAAAACAAAGTATGCCATTCTTCTTTTTACAACATAAGACATAATTATGTTCTTGAATGTATGAAATTCAATACACTGTCTGCATGATGCATGTTGTTGACTTGAGCTTTATGATTTGACATTCATAATCCATTTCATTGGACTCTTTAGGTACATGTAGAAGAAGAGACACTATACGAAACAAACACACCATACTTTATGCATGCCTTTCATGAATGCTTGCATATGACTCTTCAAATGCATCTTTGAATATGACAAGTTTGAATCAAAAGTATGAACCTTCACTTACTGAGGCTTCTTGAATCCCTACCCCAAAAATAATTATTATGATCTAGAAGTTGTATAGTAAGTTTAAAGTCATATTACAAGGTGCATTTGTATGGTAAACTACACTCTAGGACTGCATGAGTTAAGTTTGCATGCTAAGTTTTCTGAGTGCAGCTATGATTTTTTCTCTGCCTTGTCAACCATGTCTTTCTTTATACCGGATTGATCCGGCTTGAACCGGTTCTGACCTGATCTGTCCTGTTCTGCCTCCTGTAGCCGGCCAGCTATGTACCAAACTAGGTAAACACACAGCACTCTTCTGTTTCTGGGGAAAAAGGGACTCCGGTTGTTCGAATGGGTCGGAAAATATGGGTGATAATGCTAATAGCCTGGATGCCAGACCCATAGCACACTTGGCCCAAAGTAATATCCCAGTGTGCTATGGGTCTGGCATCCAGGCTAGGGTGATTACATTACATTATCATTTCTACCACAGAAGGTTTTGTAAAAGAAAAATCATGAACTTTTGATTTTATTCTGACAAACTATTTAGAAAATACTAAAATCAAATTTATGTAAATGTACATTGAATAGTGTGTATGAGATTTGAATCTTCACCAGAAATGACTTGAGATATATAACTTTTTATATAACTGTTCATGATTTTTTATGAAATTCTGTGGTGGTTTGATATTGTACACACATATTAATACAATGTACTCTCTTTATTTGATGCCACACACATATTCATTTTCCGTACCATCTAGCATTTTGCAATTCAATGTCATTTATGTTTGTCACATGACCACATATTGACCAATCATGGTCAAGCATCATGTACTGTTACTTTGATTGACATTATGTCATAGGGGTGGAGGAAAATCAAGTTCACTTGCACATTTTAACATTATCAATTTGTGACCCTTCATATTTTGTTGTACAGTCATCATAAGCATCTATGATAGTGCACTAAAAAGCACATTTTCAATAAAGTTTTTTTTTTGCTCAGCTTTCACCCTTTTTCTTTCTTCCACAAGTTTCTCATCTATTCCGCTTAGCTTAATTTCAACCCAAAACCGCTGAAAACTTTGCCAAAGTACTAAAGACAATCCTTGAATGTTGCTTAACATGTGCTGCATGTATTTCATCTTGCAATGAATGTTCCAAATATAATGACTATTGCAAATTTTCTGAAATGATTTACTCTTCTGCAGCTACTAGTAATCTCAATGCATTATATCAGTACTAGACATATGTCACAGAACCATAAGCTTACTAAAGCATGTTTGTAATATGTTTTGTCTTTGTGAAGTTAGAAAACATTTAGCCTAACTCTCTCTAGCCTGCCTGTTGTATATAAATGTCTCCTTAACTGTTGTACTTTACATTTGGATGCTGTGTTCTCCCTGTGTGTGTGTATATAACGTTATGTATTTGCGGCGGCGACTTTTCGCCGTATCTCAGAGACTGTGCAACACAATATGACGGGTCACGTCTGTGTCTGTGTGTCTCCCTCCAGGAGGGGTACGGGAAACACGATCGCTGCCAAAACATATTCTTATTTCGAACTAGATTTCTAAGGTATTGGCACGTTCCATTGCTTGCCTTCCTTACACCTCAGAGAAATCATGGGTTGGATGGTTGGTTGTTAACTTCACCGTGATTGGCTAAGGGTGCTGCTAATGCCGCGGTGCAGCCAATGGTAAAAGCTGATAGAACTACCGGTGTTTTTTGTTTGACACAGATTGCCCCTTTTGAAGGAGGGCATACAGATAAAGTTGTCAGTATCACTGTTTGAAGTATACACAGCAGTTGAAAATTAGTACACATCACACGTACTGTATCAGTTTAAAAGAAGTCCACTTGAATCACACACTGCGTCTTTTTTTTTTCATTTTTCCTTTTAAAGTGCACTGCTGCTTGTTTCTTTTGCTTGCTCAAGTTGTACATGTACATGTACGATTACCTGGCTCTATACCTTTAGAAGTATCACTATTTTTCTGTCAGAAACGATGGAAGAAAAATATACATGTACATGACTCAATGACAAAATGAAAGTTTTGACTATTTGTACTGTTTTGAAAAATTACCATAGGGTAAAAAAAAAAAGAAGCTGAATAAGCAATAGACTGAAAAATAAATCTAGAAATTGGCAAGATCAGAAGTTTTAAGAGTTTTTAACTGAATGGAATTTGATCCCAGCTTCTGTTTCTTTCTGTACCTTCAAGAATTTCAAGTCCTTTTTTTATACAATTGTGATGACACATAGTGCACTTAAATGGCTACACTTTTCACGAACGATGTTTCGCACACACGCAGTAGTTCTGTTAGCTCCTGCCAGCTGGCTTTGTGGTGATTTGCTTGTCTGATTTGGGACTGATTTCTACACCCAATAGAGCAGCTTCCTGATTTAGCAATTGTTTGGGATTTGTGGAAACCATTTTACATCATACATGGACAGACGTTTAGTATTTATTCTTGACAGTCACCATGAAACTCATCTCAAAACCTATCATTCTGTGACTCTGTCTCTGTATGATGTGAATGAGGTTTCCTGGTTGTCATGACAATCATCTGCATGCTGTACTTACCGCATGTTATACAGTTTAACTTCACCCTGTTGCTTGCAGTGCTTATAATCTGCTCTTTCTGATATATTCTCCAAGTAAATGTAAGGGTCCAGCTCAGTCTCATGTTTTGGTGACATCTCATGAGCAGAGCCCTTTGGCATATACAAGTTGGAAAACTTCTAGGTGTGTTTTTGCAACATTTTTCTCAACATTTAGTGAATCTATTTAAGCCCTCACTGGCTTTTGTTAAATGTTGCAAAAACATGCAAAAGACACTGAGACTGAATCTGACCCTTGTATCTGCTTGGAGATTATTATTGATCAATGCCTGCATGTACCCGATAACTGTGTGTGGAATGATTTTTTTCTACAGCTTGTTGCTTTGAGCATTTAAGGTGGCTTGATCCATTCACTGATGATCACAATTGTGCTTTCAAGTGTTTATGATTGTCAATCATTTTAATTTGTGTATTAATTTCACCCATCTAGACTTTTTATGCATTAATCATCTACAGGCCAATCTGCACATGAGTTCCATCTGTCAAATGGAATAATTTCTGATGATTGCTTTTCCCCATATCACCATGTAACATGTTTATGTACATGCATATCACGATCTATATCATAATTGATAACTTTTGTGTTGCCATAACATCAACAATTAATCACGGCTATGAGGGTGGTAGCTTCTTGCCAGCAGAGCTGGAATTGTTGTTGTTTACTTATTTATTTATTTGTAAACCTCCTCCGTAGACCCAGTAGGAGCCAGGCGGGGACCCCCCACCCCGACCAGATGCGTGCCAACCCTCCACACAACTACGACAACTACTCCAAACCCCCGTCAGACCCCCGGCACCCCCCTCACCGTCCGCGCACCCCAGGAGCTGACGACCCTCGCAGGCAGGCCCACCCCCCTCCCACGGCCCCCCACAGCTACTACCGCCCCCTGCAGCAGCGGGAACCCCCTGCAGAAGGCCCCCCTCCCTACCACCCCCAGGAGGCAGGTTACCCATACAGCAGGCTACGTCCGGTACCTGCCATAAGGGAGGAGCCTGCCTACCACGGCAAGAGAGACTATTACGACAGGCCACCGCCTCCACAAAACCACCAACAGTATGGCAACCGATCGCCCGAGGAGAGGAGGTACCAGAATAGACCACGGTCGGCAGGGGCGTCGAGAGTCGCAGAAGAAGAACGTTACCCCGTACGGCCGCGGTCGGCCGGGCCCGCGCAGTGGGAGAGAGAACGGCTGGAAAGAGAGAGGCAGGCGAACCAAGCAGCGTACTACGCCAGCCACCAGAACAACAGGCATAGCTACTACGACGACAGGCCCATCAGCTACCAGGACAAGCATCCCGAGGGGTACCGCTCGCTGCCAAGACGAGCGCACAGGACGGGAGACGACCCTCGAGACGAGGGTGTCGTCATCTCTCGAGCTGCGTGTGTCTGATTTGTACTTGTAGATACGAACAGAATTCTGAAGGAAGAACAATCAGCAAAGTGTTAAAACATACGTGCCAAACTGGGTGTAACTTGTGTTTGGTCGGATAAAGTTATAGACTAGGAGATCCTCCCAAAGTGAAAGATGATTGGTGTTTCTATTGATGGTAGCTTGTTTAAACTTTCCTTGCTGTGGGTATAACCTGGCACTAAATGTGACAGCATACCTTAGCAGTAGGAATGTATTAGGAATGGCAAAGATATACGTACAGAATTCTTACAGTAAAAAAGATGAGGAATTTTGCTGTATAACCACCAATTATCTTCCACTTTCTGTAGAATCTTTCAAGAAAAAATTGTCTGGTCTCACGGGGATCAAAATGGTCAGGACCAAACGAGGAGCTCGAAATACTCTGTACTTAGCTACAATACTAACACAGCCATTGTATATACACGTACCCAAGTGGCAGTTAGTGTTAGATTAATGTAGAGCAGGCCACACTTTGTCACACTGCATGTACGGTACCAGCATCTATTGTCAGAAACCTGACCACCCCTATGAAGCAAGTAGTTTGTGCCTGGTACAGACTTTACATAGTTGGTACACACCATTCAGATAGACTACAGAGGGGGGGACATTTATATGGAAGTACTTCTCTTTGTATGATCAGTAAGGGTGCTTAACGTTGTACAAAGCTAGCTGTGCCTTACACTGCTGTACCTAGGGTCCCCTCTATAACAGGACATTTCCAGTGCCTGAGTAAGAAGGGACGCTTTTTTTACACAAAACGTCAGAAATGTTACTAAAGAAAAAGAAGTGAGATACGCCAAATGTGTGACCAAGCATTATGAAGACAAGTCTATTTTGTGAATGAATACTATGTAAGATATATATACACTGTACAGGAATTGGGATAGAAAGAGGAAGTGTTAGTTATTTGGGTTTGATAGAGTGTATGGTATAGATAGAGTAGCCAAACTAACTCTGACAAATCAAACATAGTAATTATATTAACTGCAGGCCTAAACAGAAACCATGTGACTGAAACCCTCATAAAATTTTGTAACTCAAGATGTGCCTAAGTGTGGTGGAAGGCTATGATGTTGTAGGATTGACAATTAATTGTCCACAGCAATAATGGATATTAGTACAACTAGTTCAGGAATGTTGTAGTGCAGTTTGGTCACTGTCTATTGGACCACTTCCATTCTGTTACGTTCTACTCCAATTGTCCCAATTTTTAAAACCCAAAGTTGATAATTGGTAGCAAGTCAAGGTGGACTTTCAATCACTGGCAGGCAAAAAGGATGAAATATTTCTCTTAGTTTTAACTTAGTTCAACCAATCGCTGTACTAAGAAGGAATTTGTAGCATACTAGTAATGCATTCAATGAGCATTATGTCAAGAGCAATGGTTTGATATTGCAGATAATGAGCAATATTGAAACTTTCTACTGGTATAAGGAAATATTTTTCTCCTGACAACATCAGTGCCTTTCATCAGACCTAGGCATGTTTAAAGTAATAACAGAGACCCACATATCATAAATATAGCCCTTTGAATACACAATTCATGCAGTATGGAAACAACTGCCAAGACTAGTCAAGTTCAGTACTGCACTTGATGACATGTTCTTACATGTACCTCTGCCAATGAGTTTATCTTCTGTATCTGTATCTGTATAGCCGGTATAACCGCCTTTCGGCGTAACACACCAGCTTGTACCAGTGTAGCTGGTTGTTCTGACATGTTTAGATTCCTTGACCTAAGGACAAAGTGGTGAAATTTTTGGGAAAGACCTGGAGTTTGATCCAGCATTTTATGTACTGCAAACCATTTTTTTAAGATCATGGAGGAAAAAAATTCATGGTAGTACAAAGGGAGCATTTGCAGAGTTTTGAGTTTGCGGCTAAATGGCAATAACATGGGAAGATAGCAAGTGAATCACATATTGCCAGTGAAATATTGCAAAAACTGCAACCGTTTTCCTATTTGCAGTACATGCATACCACTTGGAGACAGATCAGTCATGCCCCTAGCAGTTTCATCCCTAACTGCAGGTTACAAGTACATGAATCCTAAAATGAGTGAATGGAAATCTTCCTTTGGCAGAGGTTAACACTTTCTAAGTGCTTCAGGTGTTTACTACAGACTGTATTGCTGATGTTTTAGTCAATGGTGAAGCTAATCTAAGGGCTGCAATGGCAAGGTGGTCCTTATACAGAGGTGGTCACAAGTACAGATTTGACTAATTGTTCCAGCATTGCCAAGCAGTTACATATGTAATGAGCAAGTGTTAAGGTAAACATATTCTCTCCATTCATGGGTTTTACCATGGTTTACCTGCAGATTAAGCCAAAAAGAATATCTATTAGTTCATATCAATAGAAATGATTTTAACAATGACAAGAATTCCCATCTTTTTTCCTGTATCTTACATTGTAATGTAGACGATGTGAAGCAAATGTATGTTTTACATTTTGTGTATAAAAAAAACTAACTTTCAATATTTATCTGATGTTCAGCCGAATCTTCTCATTAGGTAAGTATTTGTTGTAGGTTTACAATGTTTCTGACTCTCTGTAAAAAGTTATTTTGGTATAAGAAAAATGGCAGAGTTCTTTGAAAGCTTTGATTGAGTTTTTAGACATGAATTTGAAATTATTCATCTTGTACATTATCAGTTTTACCCTCCAAGCGAAATTCTCTTTCAGCACTTTAGACCATGTTTGTACTATAACTTAGAAAATCTTACTTTTTTCTCATAAATAATACCAATGTCGATGTATTTGCTGTAATACAGGTATGGTTTTCAGTGGTTTTCTACACTTGTATAATGGTCTCTCAGTTTGAAGCGTTTGCCATGTACTTAGCCAGATTTGTACCCTAACTCATTTTGCAAAATGCAAAGCATTTTACCTCACTGATATGTACCTAATAAAAATTTGTATCCTACATCCGTACTTTCCACTGTTTCTGTCTGTTATTTTTAAATGGGTGTGTTTCGTTTTAAGTGTTGAAATTTGAAACCACCCGCACATATAATGTTGTCGGTCATTGTACTGGAAAGCACCTGTATGTATACGGAAAACCTAAGTTTAGCATAGACGACAATGATCTTGCACAGAAGGAAGCACAAAACAATGATATTTCTATGGCTAATTTACACTCGAAATACAAGTGTGAAGAAGGTAACTCTTTGCTACATGTAGCACCGTCCAGGCTTTATTTCACCACGCACAAATGTACGCCTTCCACCAGTACTAGTCTTTATCGTATACGTACATGTGAAGATCATGTCTAAAAACCCGCGAACACCATGTAGACTTACGTAACTTCTGGTAACGTTTCTTCAACCATCACCATTTGCAAACCCTTTTCGAAATATAAACGCTCCAGTATTTGACATATGATCATATCTATCATATATCGATGTTTTTGAAATTGGTATAATACTGATTCGTAGTCAGCATGGTCTTGACTATGAAAACCGCCCTGTGCCGATAGTATCTATACTATTAGGTAATGTTCAGCAGTAATGACTGAAAAACGTTTCGTTCACATTTCTCTAGCCTCGTTACCAGACCTCTCGTAGCCCACGAGTCTGTATGATAAAGGATAAAGCCTATGGTCCTAAAATATGTCTGGTAACCAGACTAACACTTGTCGTTACAGCCTGGTGATGTAAGATCTAATCGTCTCGATAGTTTCTCCTGTCTTCAAAAACTCTGCCAAAGAAATCGCACTCCTGTCCAGCCGTGGTGAATCCTGATTTTGTAGCCGTTTTGATACAGGTTCTGGATGGTCATCCAGCTCTTCAATATCCAGTGGCCAGTAGTCGGTTTCGTCCGGTGGAGGCGGCCAGAAGTCCACCGATACCGTGTCGGTGTCGTCGGAGTCGGAGAAGTGTATGGAGGGGATGTCGACTGTAGACGGCGGTTCAATCGACTCGGGAGCTTGGGGGTGGATTGTGCTGATCGATTGCGGTGCCTTTTTACCCTGCAACAAATAATAGCTTTTGTTTGTTTGTTTGTTTGTTTGTTTGTTTGTTTATTTATTTAACCAGGAAATGCATGTCGCCTATTGGCGTTTTTCAAAAGATTCCGGGGGGGATAACCCCAACAAAACACATGACATTATAATTATAACAAAAGATTAAAGATGAACTAACAAAGATCAACTAAAAATAAACTTATCGTGAAGTTTTATAAACGAACATCAAATACAAGCTGTCATACGATTACATGATACAAGTTGTCATACGAGTACATGGGTAAGTGACGGTATAGCCCGATGTACAGATTGTTTTACTGTTTATATTCCCGTAGTCTTCAGTATAAGCACTGCACAACAATCTTTGACGCAGCGATCTTATTACTTGTATGGCTTGAGTTTTTAGCTACCAAAGAGGTTTAAGCTTCCCTGTTTCTGCTATTCATATTTCATCAAGCTGAAAAGATGTAAGACAAGGAAAAACAAGTCGATCAGTTTTCTAAAGGGTCTAGATATCCTTGAGAGTCGAAATCCGGCCGTGGGTGGCTATTGTTACCGTTCCAGGCTTGTGAGAATGAATCCCTATGTTTCCCTATCTTTAGTGGGGTCTCTGTCCTTGGTGCTGAAATGTCTTCAACCACAACGGTTATATGTGGGCATTAGTCTTTCTACTCTTTCATATTCTATTTCTACTTCAAAACTTCACTATAAAACATACCAGAAAGCTGTGAGAAAAGACTTGTTGATTCAGGGTTGACATCCCGGGGAGATACCGCTGCAGACCGATACGATTCGGGCTTGCAGACGATCTTTTAGACGCTCTCGACAGCGCCCTCAAGCGGGCGTCTAGAGTTTGCAGGTGCGATACATGTAGAGTTTGCGGCTTCCAGTAGGGATGAGGACGCCTCAAAGAATGTCCTCGCTGTTTGGAGTTAAGACGTTGTGTCTTAGGCAGCTTGTGAAGACGGTATATCTGCGGTAGTGGACGTTGTAGTCTGGGCCCGAACAGACTTGGTGTGGGCTGCGGTACTCCATAGAACCTATGAACATTCAAAATAGAAAAAAGTAACATGGCTAGCATTGGCATTGCTCAGTGTTATAGTAGCGTTGTCGTAAGTTAGTTCTTTTCTTACATAACACGCTATTGACATCATAGTGATGTTTTAGAACAATGAGAGTTTTGTGCATGTAAGGATTTTTCAGTTCTCTTCAACAGAGTTAAAAATGTCATGAATTGCTAGCCAATATATAACGTTATAAACAAATAAAAAAAACTTGACATGACAATTGTCAAAAAGGTACACAATGTATTGCCATCCTTAGTTTTGTTTCTAAGAGTTTAAAAACGGTTTAAATAGGAATGATTGTAATAAGCGTTAAGTTTCATTTTGTGCATGTTCATAGCGTAGTTGATGTCCTTGGTGCTGAACTAGCCATCAAACCGTAACTCTACAGTGGATGACATGACATATTTCCCTAGCCTCTACCAGGCTTTAGAAGCGGCTGGTTTCCTCTCGGATAGCAAAATCTGCAAATTGTACTCCTTCATCCCCTCCCCAGCAAGTTATTTATCTATTTTCTAGTCGAACACAGAAACCACATGCTCAAAATAGCTCATCTTTCCTGTGTCCCAACTGTGGTTGGAACTACCATGCGAAGATATGGCTAATTAGCCACACTAGGCACTTCACACGGCCGCAACACCAGACTTAGAGTGCTACCATCATCTTCCGAGATGGAAGGATGCCTATTACTAGTCGCTTCAGAAGTACCAGGCTAATATTTCCCTACCAGAACGTTCGGCCCATCAAGGCCCTCTTCCCACAGAACTGTTTCGCCACTAACAGCAGGATGAGCAGCACGACAACACCGGAGGCTGTGAGAAAGATTCCCCTGATGTCAGCACCGGAGGAGTCTGGGGGCGACGTATCTAGACACACAGTAGGGAAATAGTTTGGTTATAATTAGATGTCGCTATACATGTTTGGTACTCTGCAAGCAGAGGTTGAAGATCGTTACCTTTTTGTATATGGTCCGTTGGGTGGTGCACGGACTCTCCCTAGCCAATGGCTACTCCCTGGCCAATTTGTCCTTTTGCCACCCTGGGATCTGCTTGGAGATTACATGTAGGTGCGAGTGTATTGTGCATACAATGGGAGTGAAAATTGCGTTCGATGTTCCTGGCTTCATGATTTTTGTAATGTCCGGTTTGTTTCACATATTAGATTCTTGTGTATGTTTTTAACATAATGTTGAAGACAAACTTACTGGACGTCAACGGAGAGGTAGTTGCACAAGACGCATTCCTTTTTCCATCGCCACACCTGCATATAATGAATAAGAACATCTTCTGTATGCTGTTCAGTTGTGCCTCTGTTACTAATTACTTGAAGATAGGAGAAGACAGATTTTCATAGGAGAAGACAGATTTTCTTCCCCCTGGCAAAGTATAGAGAAACTGCAGACATAAACACGCAAACATATTTTACCACAACGAACACATAAAGGAGATTACTCTTACACAGAACTTGCGTTCACTCCCAGAACTGCACCGGCAGTATCCGAAGCTGGCATCCCTCGATGCATGGCGTTCCACCCGTACACAAGCAATCCACCTCGAGCTCCAACATAACCATCGGAAACCAATACCGTGTACAAGCGATGGCAGTCTCACCCTCGCCTCTCTTCAGACTGTCAGCATTGGCACTGTTCCAGTTTTCTATCTCTGTTTATTAGATCCATGACTGCAATTTTTCTTCAAATAAAACAAGAAGAAGTTGAAGTTGACTACATCTTTCGTTGTAAACGTACTAGATATCTGCGCTGCCAATATGAATGGACATCAGTTCGAATTCAAGGTGATATTTCAAAGTGATTTATACATAAATGTATTCACGTGGACAGATCTTGACAGCCGCCTTGGTACGTACTTAATTGAACACGAACAATACTCTTTTGTAAAGAACTCCTACATGTACGCAGAATAAAATATGGTCTGTGTAAATACCATGAGAATGGTCTGTTTTTCTCGATATTCTTAGACAGAAACTACCTATATGACCGCCAGCCCCCCTCCTGTGGCATGTACATTTACCACATTGTAGCTCTTATAGTATTAAGTATAATTTGGAAGGAAATCCAAAGGCAATTGTAAACAAGGATTCTACATTCATAAAACAACGATTTACCTCCAATTTCGACTTCAAATTCCACCATCCATATTCCTAGACGAGAGGTTATACAACAACGTTTGTCTATGCAAGGACATTATACAGAACTGTGTAATGTCCTTGGTCTATTATATTTTAACGTAAAAGATATAAGGAATATCTCACCTGTCGGAATCGGTGCCACAGTAAGATTAGAGAAATCCCAGGGGCTCAGATCCACACAAAACAACCCAATCCCAGGACGACCAAGGTGACCCGAGCTAACCTAAACATGTCAAGTCAAATTGCCATTCTTCAGCAAAGCCGACAGTCAGTAGAACAATCGTCATCACTACGTGTTCTAATCAAATCTTAGTACGCATACAAACTCTGCCAGTCCTAAAGATTTTTTTGCGGTTTTCTACAATACACAATATGTCCTAGCCTGCACGTAAGTTATATGTCCTATTGTATTAAAGACGCACATTCAGTAGTACAATAGAATACATACAAGACAGGTGATCATAAATAAGAATGGATTACCGAATAACGCACTGGCTATAGTACGTCACATATTGTAGGTTCAATGTGCAGGAATTTCTATTCACCGTCTTTTGTGATCCAAGAATTAATCTTAGTCAATACAGGTGCTCAAAATTGCCGCTAACCATACCACATACAAGCCATCAATCAAATCTTAGATAGACAATGTAGCATCCCACTTGGGACTCGTCACCTGCAATTCATCCAATTGACATATCTTGTTCGTTCTCTTCCAAAAATCCAGTGAAGATACTGTTAATGTTGTCGCACTAGGTGAAAAAGAAGTTTAGCAACTGGTTAGGACTAAATGCCAATATTGATGAAGATGATACAGTTGAATAGCCATGCTTTTGTCAATGATATGACATGTTTAATTATCTGATAGCCCCGAACGTTTTCAGTAAATTCCGATAGATGTCGTTGATGTCAAAATGGATGCATGATGCAGTTCGGTTACCATAGTAGTATGAACCTCGAATTTCGTACTCATATTTGCGAGCCATTGATTGTAGTTATGACAGAAATTATTACATAATGGTGAGTGTGGATTTTTAGTTCAGCTGTGGGAGAAATTCACAGTGGAAATCATGCGGCCATAGGATGTTTCTAGTAGCAGTTAACTCTGTGAATGATACACGAGCTGTATATGACAATTATTAATATTGAGGTCATCACAATGAATAATTTAGCATTGCTTTGTTATTAATCAAACACAGTGTTTGAGCCGTCAGATTTATACATGTAACGTTATCGACGATAGAATACTACAAAACGTATTCATTAACGTTAGGCCACCCCAATTTAATTTCTTGGTTAACGGATTCACCGCTTCATTTTTTTCTGATTTGCAAATAAAAATAAAAATCCAGAATCAACTGCAAAATGCTCATATTTTGCCCTGAACAGTTGAAAACAGTCTTTTTCATCCTAGTAGTTACAGTTATTCCATCTTTCAATGCAGTGGTATCATTAAAAGTTCAAAATTCATTGTTTAAATTTTGAACCAGCCTGGTGTGTTGACTTCATGGCTCCTATCGTACCATTTTGGGCCATAATAGGATGCCTAGGCCTGTTTTTATTTATTTTTTTTTTCGCCCGCCCGCTCCATTATTTTTCTAGAAAAATCCGTTAACCAAGAAATTTAATTGGTGTGGCCTAATCCATACCTTAATCGTTGCATTTTTTGTCACATTGCACCACAATGTCACATTGATGGAGTTGTCAGGGGTGGCAGCCTTGCTGGCTAGTAGGTCAAACGGCCCATCAACACCTAGTTTTACCTGGCCGTATAACATGTCAACTTCTATCTTCTTATCTGAATTTGAAATGTAGGTCAAGGATTATGCCCCAGAGTACAGAATATAGTTTGAAATATATATTTTCCATTCTTTTTGTGTGTGTTCAAAGGGTATGCTTCTGTTTCAGCATTATCTGAGAACACAAACTTACTGATACACATTTTTATACTCACCAAAAAAAAAGATTCAGTCTTAGACTTCCATAAATCA